TTTGAAATGTGTACTTCTGACAGTGAACAAAAAGATTTTGTCTAGCCATCAATATAGCTCAAACCGGCGCGTCCAAGGGAAAAAAGAAAAAGCTGTTTGCCTGTCCGACGTCCTCATCATCGGAATCAGAGAGCAGCGACAATGAAGCGCCATTCAAAAGGCAATGAATTGAGTTGTTTTCATTTTTTTTGGTTAACCGAATGATTTGATACCAGTAGTAGTGCATAATTTTGATGACTCCAGCTCTGGCTGTATTTTTGCTACTGTAAATTCAAACAGTTCAGTCACTATAAATTCTCGTCTTTCCCGATGGACAGACACAGATTCGGACGATGTCTATTTACTAATGCTTCAAACAAAGAAATTCAAATTAGAGTACTTGAGCAAAGACTGTTTGCTAAAAATTCCCGTTAAATAATGTCAAGGGATATATTTTTACTATTGTTAAAGAATCTCAAACATTTCTCAGACAACAGTGCTCATGCAGGCGGCGATAGATTACAAAATTAGACACGTTATTGATAGTCTGCTCAAATACGTTATTATTATTATTCACACAGCAGAATGCGTCAATCGGTAGCATAGTGTAGTTGATATCACGTCCGCCTTAGAATCAGATGGTCGTGTGTTCAACCTCTGAAGTTGTGTGTGTGTGTTTTTTTTTAATTATTATTATTATTGTAAATTTTTCTTTCAGTTCCTGCTACTTTTTAGCAACGGGTGACAAGTATTATTATTATTTTTTTTATTATTATTATTTTGGTATGTAATAACATAGTGACTACAAATAACTGATTAAAGTGGCAGCCGTGGAAGGTTTGTCAATCAAATTTTGGGATACGGACTAGGAACAGTTCTTCCCATTATTTCCCCACCCCCCCCCCACCCCCAAGAGGCGATAACCAAGTCTTTGGGGCACCATCGTGCCTCTGACTTGTCACCACTCGGACCAACCACACACCTCCCCAGGGTAAAAAATTTTAGGTGTACAAAATAAAGCCCTCACCGCCGACGCATCTCTTGCGTTTGGAGGATAGAAAAGTATTGCGCACAGCAGAGACTATTTTTTTCCCACATTGCTTAGCAAAGGGCAGACAGCTATTTCTGGGAACGTAGCAGCGAAAGGGTTAAGGTCACACTAGTTGCGAATTAGCCATGAAACCTGTTTCTAAAAATTTTTCTTGGTCAAATCCCTGGGTGCAGTTTTTACAATAGTCTGAGAAACGAAATCAATGTTTTATATCATAGTTTCAAATTCTAATCACCTTTCATATCTTGCCACACAAAGCAACAAGAAACTCACATTCACTGCTCAAGAAACAAAAATGATTGCATTGAGATTAAAAATGACACAACAACAAAATGTAGCGATAGCAGCAACGTATAATATTGTGTCCTGTATGATTAACAAGCACAATAGTCGGGCGTTTTTGTTTTTTAATATGGCTGTATTCTTGAAGCTAATCCCGCCTAAAGGAACAACGCAATACAAGAATTCTATCAACAATAGTCGGTTCTGGTTTGTTAATCTACAGTGTTTATAAGGAGATCCCGTTACAATGGTCTTTAGAATTTTTTGCCTTTCGCTATAGAATTGCAGTCTGTTGTCTGTGTCTCGTTACAATCTTGCAGTATGTTGTCTGTGTTTGTCTACAGCATTGCAGTCTGTTGTCTGTTTCACTACAGTATTGCAGTCTGTTGTCTGTGTTTCGTTATAGATTTGCAGTTTGTTGTCTGTGTTTCGCTACAGTATTGTAGTTTGCTGTCTTTGTTTCGTCACAGTATTGCAGTCGATTGCCTGTGTTTCTCTGCAAGATTGCAGTCATTTGTCTGTGTTTCGCTACTGTATTGCAGTCTGTTGTCTGTGTTTCGCTACAGTATTGCAGTCTGTTGTCTGTGTTTCGCTACTGTATTGCAGTCTGTTGTCTGTGTTTCGCTACAGTATTGCAGTCTGTTGTCTGTGTTTCGCTACTGTATTGCAGTCTGTTGTCTGTGTTTCGCTACAGTATTGCAGTTTGTTGTCTGTGTTTCGCTACAGTATTGTAGTTTGCTGTCTTTGTTTCGTCACAGTATTGCAGTCGATTGCCTGTGTTTCTCTGCAAGATTGCAGTCATTTGTCTGTGTTTCGCTACAGTATTGCAGTCTGTTGTCTGTGTTTCGCTACAGTATTGCAGTCTGTTGTCTGTGTTTCGCTACAGTATTGCAGTTTGTTGACCGCTAGCTGCCACAGTGCAGTTTGTGTTAGTCCGATGGATACTACAGTGAAATCTGCTGTCTAAAAAACCTGGCTTTTGACCTTCATCTACAAATTTGCATCTTTTTCTGGTATCTGCCTGCAGTCTGTTGTCTTTTCTAGCTACAATAATGTAGTCAATTTTTTTAAGTAGTGCAATATTCTCTCTGTATTTCGTTTCTGAACTTTGTCTACAATAGTGCAGTCTGTGTTCTAGGCTACCCCCCCCCCCCCCCTGTTCTAGCTACCCCCCCCCCCCCCCCCCCCCCGCCCCCAAAAAGTAAGTTCTCTGTTCTGATTAAAATAATGCAGTTTGTTTTCTGTTCTAGCTATAAAAATATAGTAACTTCTCTGTTTTGATTACAGTAATGCAGTCTGTTCTCTGTTTCTAGTTAACTCCCACCCCCCCCCCCACCCACCGTAAAAAAATATTGTTCTCTGTTTTGATTACAATAATGCAATCTGTTCTCTATTCTATCTACACTACTATGGTAAGCTCTCTGTTTTGATTACAATAATGCAATATGTTCTCTATTCTATCTACACTAATATGGTGAGCTCTATGTTTTGATTACAATAATGCAATCTGCCCTCTGTTCTATCCGCACAAATATGGTAAGCTCTCTGTTTTGATTACAAAAATGCAGTATGTTCTCTGTTCTAGCTATAAAAATATAGAAAGTTCTATTTTGATGACAATAATGCAATCTGTAACTGACTCACTGAGTAAACTGAGGAAAGGTGGAGACTGGTATGCTCCGTGCCAAGTGAAAAGCATCGCTGCAGCGCTCCCTAGTAGTAAACGTTTTTATTTTGATATTTTCGCCAGTTGAGCCGCTATGTTGGGAAATGAACAGGCAGGCAGAATTGCTGCTTCTGCACTATGTAGTGGTAAACTGATGCATGACAAGCTAGATGTTGTAAAGGAACTTTACTGTGGTTAAACAGTTCTATTCGTGAGTCCTTTTCTCTCAAGAAATCTTCGTTACTTTTTATCTGTCCAGGGTACTGTCATCATTCGTCCACATATACACATCTCTGCCGCTGAATAAATGAATGAATCACATGGGCGACCGGGTCGCCCATTGGCTCGCCGGTAGATCACTTCGTCGCCGGACGGGACAGTATTTGGTTCCGTCTCCTGTGATCGCAGAAGTCCTTTTCAGAGTGTGTAATGCTAAGCCATTATATATGACGCATATAACCTAGTCAAAATTATAACCGAACACTTCCGCCCATTTTAACGGACTTTTTTCAATTTCTAAGTTTGCTAATAAATGTCTGAGTCTATACGTAATATTTTTGTTTTTCTTTTGTGCAGTTTGTTTATAAATAGAGTGATAGAGTGGTACATCCATTTACATCCGATCCAAATCCTTGGATATATATACCGAATTAGAAGTATGAAAAAACTTATGTTCTTATAAGAAATAAAGGGAATGTGAATAATCCGTTCCCTTGATGAAAACACGTTCTATTGTTATTGGCATATTATATATAGATAGAGACATTCGGGTAATGAACAGGCAGACAGATTGGCTGGATCCTCACAACTGGGTGGTGAATTGATACATGACAAGGCAGATGTGATCAAGGCCCTTTGGAAACAAGCAAGGGAATCAGTAGAGAAACAAGAGTATTATGACCTGGAGAGAATGAGGCATCTGGGTCTATAACCAGAGGGTCTGGCCGGCTCACCGCACTCAGAGGAAAGGCAAGACGGACTTTTAACCAGTTGTGAACGGTGCCATCAGTACACGAACTCTGCCCTGGTTGTAAAAGATGAGGACGGAACAAACATGGGAATGCCCCGAATGTTGTGATGTCAATTTTTGATTGAACTCAACTCAACATAAATAGAGACGCATAAAACAATTTCAACACCGCCTAATAATAAAATACATAAAACTAAAAACAGTGGGATCAAATAAAATGAAAAGTTAGCCTCACTTTATCTTGTTGGGTAGAGTGTGGTGTCTGTGGGAGTGGTGCGCAGACAAGAGGAGTAGATGTTATTTTGTGAAATTCTAGTATATATGTGTGTGTGTGTGGGTTTTTTTTTTTCCCCTGTGTGTTCTTTGTTAAGGTGGTACTTTTCTACATTTTTTTTCTCTCTTTTACACCTATCTATTTGCCAAACATGTTCTTGAAAATAAAGTGTGGGATTCATCTTTCTACGCCTTCTCCGAGCCAGAGAGAGAAGAGAGAGAGAGAGATCCGAGCCAGAGAGAGAGAGAGAGAGAGAGAGAGAGAGAGAGAGAGAGACTGAGAGAGAGAGAACGAACGAACAGACATTATTTTCAAAGGGTTACAAATTGGGCACTCAGGCCCGTCTGACATTCGGCCCTTCTAAGTACTCATCTTTCAGACCCCAGCTGCATATTATCAATAATGTATGTGATGTTTATAGGAGAAATATACATAATGAAAAAATCAATGCACACGTCATATATACATATGAGAGAGAGAGAGAGAGAGAGAGAGAGAGAGAGAGAGAGAGAGAGAGAGAAAGAGAGAGAGATGGGATGAGGAAGGGGGAAGTAAACGAGGCTAGAGCTCTCTGTCGTGACTCATTTTGAATCATACAAGTGCTAGCGCGCGGTTCTACTTCAAACATATGTTTCAAGCCTAAACAAGACGTATATCAAGTTGGACTATTCCAAAGCGGATACATGTGTACCACTGTACATCTTTCTTTTTTAAGTACCCTTTTTTTAATGCCAATATCTACTACATATATCTCATCTTCTAATCCCACTAGTGTGACATGGCAGTTGCCACCAAAGCCTTCTTTGACATGATGGCAGACAGCCACACAACCACGGCCATGTTGTTCGGTGATGTCTGCTACAACGTGACGGGGCCAATTGTCCAGATAGCTCACCAGTGGGGCATGTTTCAGGTCAGTAGAATGCTTGTGTGTCGCGTGTGTTTTACCTGGACACTTCAGGGATGCGAAGAGAAACATTCTACTCTGCCATTTATGTTGTAAGAACCGATGGCGAATAGGACTGGGTTTGAGGTTGGCTTCCTCATCCCAAAAAACTTTTTTTTTTAACTGGAGACTTTCTGTCAATAAGGCAAATAGGCAGAATTATCGTTTTTAATTCATTGGAAGTTTTTGCTTCAAATAAAATTTAGGCGTTGAAGTTTCCGCCATATGTAAACTGAAAGTATACAGTTGCGTCGACCGGCTACTGATATAAGTGCATGGCGCGACACTATGAACAGTGGATTTCATTCGGGATATCTTTGACTATCGTCTTACACACACAGAACTGCAGGTTAAATTTGTCTGATGTAGAAGTATAGGTGCCCTAATTATAATTTTTTATAGGTTGAAGGGGGTCTCTGAGATCATTATGTGTGTGTGTCCGCTGTTCAGCCTGAGATTGTTAAATTACAGGATGGTATGAACCTCTTACAGCATAAGACAACCCCAATCAGCACAGAGAGACATCTTATTCAAAGCATATTTATTCCAACTCTGTGCTACCAGTGCCAGACATGGTCACTCACAACAAACCATAAAAGAAAATTAGTAACCACGGAAATGAGATGTCTGAGAAGGGCTGTAGGAGTGACCATAAGAGATAAGATCAGAAATGAGATCATAAGAGAACAAGTCGGCACAGAACTAATTCTGGATTACATACAAAGACAGCAAGTGAAATGGTTTGCCCACTTAGAGAGAATGCCTTGTGACACCATACCATACAAACCATACATGGGAAGAGAAGAAGGACGTAGAGCACGGGGTGAACCAAGAACAAGATGGAAGGATAACATCAGAGAAACTCTACAACAGCACGATGTGCCTATGGTCGAGGCAGCCAGAAGAGCTAGAAACAGAACCTTATATCTCCCTCGACACCCACAGCGGTAAAAGAGGAAGTGAAGAAGAAGAAGAAGAAGAAGAAGAAGAAGAAGAAGAAGAAGAATGAACCTCTAGATAGCAGCCAGAGGAGGACAAACGCATCGATTGATCAACTGTGCCAAAAATGGTTTTTCTTGCGAACTGCAGACTCAGACAATGGCGAGAAGCCTATTGCCAGAAAACTCGTAGTGACTGGAACTATGTATGCATTTAATGCGTTTAAGTCAAATATTTCACAAGTAACAGTGATAGGCATTCTATATGGTTTTCGCCTGCACAGGAATGGAGCAACTGTAGGGTGACCTCTATGCTGTGATGTTGGAACTGTGATTATCTGATTACTTAACCAACAAAACTAACACAGAATCCAAAAAAGGTTTTAAATGGCGTTTAGAACGTTCCAAAGTGGTTTAGAGTTTCCCTGTGATATCTACGGCTAGAGTAACTAACAACGATTGCTTGAAAGAGGCTAATCAAAGTAGATCTCTTTATAGAACAACAAGAAAGAGACAAACACTGTTATTTAGCCACATAATGAGAAGAGAGACATTGTAGAACATCGTGGCAACTGGAAATTTCATTGGGAAAAGGATGTAGAGGCAGACCAAGAGAGATGATGCTGGATGGGCTGAAACAGTTTAATCGAGGGATGTCATCAAGAGAGCTGTTCCAGGCAACCAGCAATCGTGATCTACGCCAGTTGGCAGAGCACATAATGATGATGATGGGAAATCTCTGAATTCCTTTAATCATTTTTAGATATCATTTTTTTTTTTCATTTAGCGAGCAGTGGTAACCTGCTGACTAAAACTACATATAAACCCTATACATTAAAAAAGTAAAGATCCATGTTCACGCCTTTTGGCGCATCGTTTCATATGGAAAGAGCACCCATATTGTCACAGACAAATCAGAAATAGGTGGGGCAGCATTACGCCGGTCGTCCCCAGAAATTACATCATGGTACCCATTTGAAGCAGGGTCGACCTGCGTCGCCCCATACCATAGTAAAAATCCATGCAGTCAGCAGTGGGTTTTGATCGGTACGTTAAAATTACGAGTCGGACTCGCAACGCCTAAGCCACGAACGCCGCAAAACCTTTTACAATCGCCATTTAATTCTTTGTTTTTGGGAAATCACACGAAACATGCTGCTAATAATACAGGCATTTTTTTTTTTTTTTTTTTTCATGTCTTTTTAAATGATAATTGTTCCCTTAAAAAAAAATGTTGTTAATAAAGTCCTAGTCTTTCCAGGAGTGTTGGGAATCTGTGTGTCATTTAATTCCCATCAGTGCCGTACAATGAGAGACCAACACCCTGTGACACAAAAGTGACTCCATTCGGATAAGCATCACCCGGGTACAAGTCCCAGAAAGCCCGTTCAACATTTAGATGATATCAGAGCCCCTGCTATAGCCGGGGTGGGACTTAACGAACAGTTGCTTCCTACGATGGGACGGCAGTTGATAGCACGTTAAGAATCTTCACGGCGAGGTGATTAAGTCGCCTGCCTCACTGACATTCTGGTTCCCTTTCATGTAGTAGGTTGTTCGGTTCACATGTGCAGTTTGTACAGAGATCCATGGGGGATCGACGCTAAAGCTTCAGAGCTAGAGCGTTATGGCATATAACAGATGGCTAGCCGTTTTGCAGAAAGGGACCGAGCCATATGAAATAAACCCCGATGCAATTCAGTCCATTCTATCAACTTAAAAACTGTTTAAACCACTGTGCTTTCCTAATGTGTCTTATATTTCAGCTGTCATACGCTGACACAAATCCAATGCTGTCTGACAGAGACCAGTTTCCGAATTTCTACCGTACCGTTCCCAGTGATAGTGACTTCAACCCTGCTCGTCTAGCTCTGTTGATGCATTTCAACTGGACAACCGTGGGCATTGTCTTCCAGCACGCCAAACTGGGCGAGGCTAGGCATGGTTATGTAAGTATGTCGTCACCTGACCGGTTGGTGTCAGATGGAACAAAGTCTTTAACAGTTGCTGTCATATAAATGTTTTAGATTAACCATCTTATCGTCCCCATGTGGGTTGCAATTTTTAGTCATTTTTGTAGCCCCAATCTGTCTTTTGTCGGGGGCCCAAAACATAGCCTGTCCTTAACTCATAGAGAGACTTCACTTTTTCAGTACCAAACAATTTACTTATCTGTTAAAGCTGTGCATTGTTTGTATCTTTTTTGTTTTGTTTACCTTACAAGCGATAAACACCCGATGACACAATGTGCCACAATGTGGATGAGGATCACCCGTGGAGAGGTCCGAGAAACCGCATTCAGCCATTAGACCATATTTATGGTCGGGCTATATTGCCGCCCCTGGGAAGAGCAATAACGAAAAATTGCATTCCACATAGGGATGACTGAGTTTTTGTGGCAGCTGTACATTTCTTTTCTTCTTCCTTTGTTATCTTCGTGTATTCTATCCTGGTGTTACAATGAACTACATGTGTAAGATTGGGCTCCCTGTGAGAAAAACGAAACTTTTCAAGCACAATCCAAAGAACCTATTGAGGACACCTTGCAATCATCACGATTATTTTAGCCATATTAAACGTCATGTTGGCCCAAGGAGGGAAAGAAAAGTTGATGAAGGATATGATGTCCAGAAAACATGGCAGTTGCCGGCCTTTGCGAATGTGGAACATTGGAGATGTATTGCTTGTGAAGAACGAATAGGGCTGGAAGATTGGCTAGAGCAGTGTTTCCCAAAGTGGGCGATAACACCGCACTCTCCCGGGAGCGTTGTTATGTTCCAGAGGACAGTAGCGGTCTTAATCACATTTGGAGAGCGCTGGACGTTACTAGGGATGGGGTGGAGGGGGTGGGGGAGGATTGTGTTAGATGCCTCAGATGCAGTTATGAGACACTGAATTAAATTATGATAACAGTAGAGAGAGTGAAAGAGAGAGGGGGAGTATGGGGGAGAGGGGAGAGAAAGGGGGAGTATGCGGGGATGGAGAGTATGGGGAGGGAGGGGGGATTCGGGGGGGGGGGGGGGGGAGAGTGAACATTATCATAAGCTGTTCGTACCTTTCTCCATGTAGTGTTAACATCGTAGTGACAGCCTAATTCCCCCTCCCTCCTTTTCCACTAAACTCACACCAGAGTGTTATAAACAATCATATTCACCCACCGTCATTCAAGTGTATGTTATTCTTTAGTTTTGTTTTAATATTCTCATTGTTATAAGGATAGCCTGAGCTGAATCTTCTACAAGCAGAAGTTAACGCAGAACATAATTTTTTTTTTTCAAGATAGGATACTTTCTTAAGATACTCCAGCTTAACTTAGTAAAAAAAGCTTTTTATATTCACATATGTAAAATCAGACATAGGAGGTATCTCATGCTTTAAACAGGACAGCATCAACTATGAAATCAAAAACAAACTATCTGAATGCTGTCCACAAGATCAGATTTATTTCAGCAGTGAATTCCAGCCTACTGCGGATCCCTAGAAACGTATCTCCAAAAGCTTTAAAACAGAGGTTCTCAAACTGGGTGTCACAAGCGTATTCCAGGGATGCCGTGGCAATAATCAAGAATAGTTCAAAATTTGCTTGAGATCATCGAAGACAACAGTTTAAAAAAATTAACATCGAGAAGGAAGCATGTTCATAAGGAAATGCTTTTAGCAAGGCTGCAGTGTATTCTCAACGTACAGATAGATTTAAAAAAAAAAAAAAGATGCAGTAGCAGACTTTTTTGTGTCAAGTAATTTGAGGGTAACATTAACTAAACTTCCCATATTTGCTTGATGACAACTTGCAAGTTTCTAGAAGGGGCACAGGGCTTGGTCAAGTCATGAGGCGGTACTGGATCACCACCGGAGCCAAGATTCTGATGATCGTGTAGAATGGCAAATGGTGACTGCCTTTGAATTTTGGCATGCCACATGTGTATTGTTGCGCACGTTAAAAAATCCCCTGGCAGTTGGAAATCGAAAAGAGTAGCCTAACGGTGCTGACCGGGTAACAATTTGCAGTTAAAAATCTACACAAAGTATTTCAGGATCCTCGCTGGTGCTACAGAGTCTGTGCACTGTCCTGAGCTTCTTTGGACTCAGACTTGATTTGGAAGAAGAACGGAGCACTTATGGGTTACTATCTGTGTGCCATGATGTTTGTCCGTTATTCAAACTTCAAACTTTAAACCTACTGTATTTTCACAGCTTCACAGACGTTGAACAGATTTTATGATTGTTGCAGGCGAGCAATACACTCGACAGTTTGCTGGAGAAACATAAGGTCAACGTGTCCATTGTGGAGAGCTTCGCTGATGACCCTGATACCGCCATCAAGAACCTGAAGGTAATTTCATACTTTTGATTTGATTTGATTTGACTTGATTCAAGAACCGACATTACAGCACTCGTGGCATTCCCATAAGCGCTCCGTCCCCATCTTCAGTAGCTAGCGAAGAGTTCCGATACTAATGGTGCCAGTAGCATTCTGATTTAACGTCCGTCTTGCCTTTCCTCTGAGCGTTGAGCATGTGCCAGAACCTCTTTCACCACCGCCCCCTCCCCGTCCTTGCATCAATCTCACCAGACTGTGGTGATCTATCAACTCTTCCGAACTGTACACGCTCTCCCACAAGGCACTAACCACGTCTGCATCAGTATTCCACCAAGTTGTTCATACTGTTCGCACACAGAGATCAATTTAGACTACTCGGTATTCTCGTTTACTTATGTAAGTATCTCTTCTCTTTAACATCTGTGCGTCTCCATTTTTGAGAAAAGGAATAGAACCACTGCTCCTATCACACTTTCGCCAACAAGCATGTCGTAGGAGGCGACTAATTAAGAGTGTTTCATTTAAAGTCCTGACAGACAAGAAACCAAGTCTACATACAAATGCGGCGTCCGTGGCTAAGGCGTTGCGAGCCTGACTCGTAATCCAACGCACCGCGATCGAAACCTGCGTGGGCTGATTGGATTTTTATCGTGGTATGGGACGTCGCAGGTCGACCCAGCCTCAAATGGGTACCAGGATGGGCTGTCCTGGGAAAGTAAAGACGGCCGGCGTAACGCTGACCACATTACCCACCGAGTGCCGATTGGTCTGTAAAAATATGGGTGCTCTTCCCATATGCCCGATGCGCCTAAGGGCGTGTAAAGGGATCTTTACTTTTACTTACATACAAATAAGCCAGACTTGTAAAACGGATCTACACAAGCAAAATTCAAGTTCGGGATCAAGGAATAGAGGAATAACTAGAATTTAGCGCCAGGGTTTGAAAGCGATTCTGTTTTCCCTATAAAGTGGGGGGAGGGCAGGAACCCGCACGGTGACTAAAGCCAGTGAATAAGCACGGAAGACAGCGGACAGTCAGTAGATCAGTGGCAAACAACACGTAGCTATAGTGGGACCGTTATCAATGTGCCATTTATCACCAAGTTTTCTAGCTGAGCTTCGCTCAAAACTTGACAGAAACGTCTTCCCTGTGTGGGTTCTGGTCCCATTGTGGGGAAAATAAGAAAACACCCACTACCTCTCCAAGCATGTTGAAGAACCGACTAATTGGGGGATTTCCTTCAAAGGCGGAAGAGTTCGTCTGCCTCAGAGACAAGAAACCAACAGTCTGCATAAAAAAGAGTCAGGTCTGTAAAACGGGTGTGCACACAATTAGTCAGGTTCTTAAACAAGACTAAATTCCTGTAAAGTACACCACGAGAAGATCGAAACCTGGGAGTCATTACCCAGGTTGGCCCACCCTCTTAAGTTGTCTGGGAGGTAATGAGTCGCGAGTGGACGACAATCACATGTACAAGCTCGAGAAGTACTGTGATCACGTGGCTGGTCTTAGGAGAGACGATGAGTACGCAGTAAAAAAAAAAAACGTCACCGCCGAGGTAGGCGCAAAAGATCCTATTCCCTTCCATGTACAATGTGCTAAAGTAGCTGGGCTTGCGAGGAAACGAGCGCAAACGATCACTAAAACAACTTGTCGAGGCTGCTGAAAGAGCTTCGAGCTGGCTCTGGGCGCAACGGAACGTCGTGGGGAATGGGCCTCAGTAGTCAGGTCCGGGTCTTTAGTGGAAAAGAACATCTTATCCCTTAAAAAGCCAACGTGTCCGAAATGTCAGCCAGTGCTCCTCTGCCAATTGCATAAGTCCAACATGTGTCCGATAAACCAACCGTAAGGTTGCCACTTGGTCGTTAAGGTAACTGGCTAATCTTATGAGCTACCGCAGCGACTAAACATATCTAACTTCGAATCTCACATTACTCGTTGCATAGTCGCCATATTCGTCTTGTCCCTGTTCGAGAACATCCTGTAAAGTGCAGCAGGAGAAGATCAAGGCCTGGGAGTCATGACCCAAGTCAGCCCACCCTCTGAAGTTGTCTAGGAGGTAATGGGCCGAAACAATTGTCGACGAGGGATCTTCTATTGATGATCCGCAGACTCCTGCTGTACATGCTCTCCTGTGAAGTTCTTTTTATTATTAAAGAGGTTGACGAACAACAAGAACTTTCCTCTTTAGTTTACAGCTGGTGAACGCAAAGAAGAAAAAGAAATCAGAAAAATCCAGACAGTCTACTTCCTATTTCTTTAATTAACTGATGACTTTCGTCGTGTTTCTTGGATGATTGCTTCGGTATCTATTCTGCGCGTTTTTGACTGCATTTTTTCCCTTTACGAAATACTTGAGTGCAGGTTTTTTCTGTACCTCACGAGTATACTAATATTAGTACTGTACAGGGTTGAACAGGGTTTCTGGGATTTGCTCCACTTTGATTAGCTTCCTTTATGTGTTAATCCAAAGGACAGCAATCCTGGGGGAGGGATGGGGGCAATTATTTACCTATTCTTTGCATTTCCCCAGAAACTACACTTACGCACTAGAGTCCGTTTCAAATGTCGTACCTAACTTTGAAATCTGTCACTCAATAAACCTTTGGTGTAAATAATTACTTTGGTATTCAACCTGTTAATAATCGTGTCCTGATGTAGTAAAATAATTATAGAGTAGACAATTTCTAGTTTTCTACTTTTGTGTGTGTGTTTGTGTGTGTACAAGCTCGTGCGTGCGCGTGTGTGTGGGTGGGTGAGTGGGTGGGTGAGTGAGTGTGTGTATGTGTGTGTGTGTGGGGGGGGGGTGGGGTATATATGAAGAAACAGACACTGATTCAAAGCATACACTTAGCGTGTTTACAGTAAATGGTTTGGAGGAAAATTGCCAAAACATCAAACTGCACGCGTTTTGGAAGTAGTCAGTGCGAGAAACAAAGGCGTGCCTATTTTGTATGGTCAGGTGAAAACCTCACAAATTGCTGTAATGTAAATTGACTCATAAATATATAAAAATAACACTATTTTTTTAGGTGTACACAGATTATTAGTCCGCAAATGTCAAAGAAATTGACCACCGGAAGAAATACTAAACTTAACATTTTCAATTCTAACGTCAAATCAGTACTTGTGTATGGGGCGGAAACATGGAGAGCAACAACTAAGGCTATTACTAATAAACTACAAACATTCACTAACTGGTGCCTGTGTAGAATAGAGGGAATTAAATGGTATGATATAATCACTATTGTAGAGCTTTTGACGAGAACTAAGCAAGCTCCAGTGGACCAAGAGGTGAAGAAAAGACGATGGCGTTGAATAGGACTCACACTGAGAAAACCTGAGAACAATATAACTAAAATGTCTTTGCACTGGAACCCACAGGGATATAGGAAAAAAGAAAGGCTTTACATGGAGAAGGAAGTTGGAGATTTGAGTTAGAAAAAAAGTGGGAAAGACATGGGGAGAGGTGCATGAGATAGCAAAGGATAGAACGACTTGACTTGAGTTGGTTGGGAGCCTATGCTCCACTGAGGGCTAGAAAGGATTAGAAGAAGAAGAAAACAGCAGAACCTTTGTAACTGTAAATTATGAAATCAAAATTGCATGCGAAATCTAAGACTTACCTGCAAAAATATATGTTAATATGTCTGTGAGTTTTCGAGATATTTGTCAACGTTTATTGTTTATGTTTCACGTGCCAACAGGGGATATAATGCTTTGTCTTTTGTTTCTTCCTTGATACAGCACGAGGATGTTCGCATTATTGTAGGCAACTTTGATGAGACTGTGGCCAGGAAGGTTTTTTGCAGCGTGAGTGTCATGTCATTGTTCATCAGCACACAAACTGTTTTTATCGTTTTTATCTACTTCTGTTTTATATTTTGTGGCTGCTGTTAGTGCCGCTGGCAGAGTTAATACTGATGTTGTCTGTTTAGGTAATATTAATGTTGTCTGTTAAATTAATATTAATGTTGTTTGTTAAATTAATATTGATGTCGTCTGTCAAATTATTATTGATGGTGTCTGTTAAATTAATATTGATGTTGTTTGTTAAATTAATATTGATGTTGTCTGTTAAATTAATATTGATGTTGTCTGTTAAATTAATATTGATGTCGTCTGTTAATTTAATATTGATGTTATCTGTTAAATTATTATTGATGTCGTCTGTGAAAATAATATTGATGTTGTCTGTTAAATTAATATTGATGTTGTCTGTTAAATTAATATTGGTGTTGTCTGTTAAATTAATATTGATGTTGTCTGTTAAATTAATACTGATGTTGTCTGTTTAAGTAATATTAATGTTGTCTCTTTAAATAATATTAATGTTGTCTGTTAAATTATTATTAATGTCGTCTGTTAGGTTAATATTGATGTCGTCTGTCAAATTAATATTTATGTTGTCTGGTAAATTATTATTGATGTTGTCTGTTAAATTAATATTGATGTCGTCTGTTAAATTAATATTGATGTTGTCTGTTAAATTAATATTGATGTGGTCTGTTAAATTAATATTGATGTCGTCTGTTAAATTAATATTGATGTTGTCTGTTAATTTAATATTGATGTTATCTGTTAAATTAATATTGATTTCGTCTGTTAAATTAATATTGATGTTGTCTGTTAAATTAATATTGATGTTGTCTGTTAAATTAATATTGGTGTTGTCTGTTAAATTAATATTGATGTTGTCTGTTAAATTAATACTGATGTTGTCTGTTTAAGTAATATTAATGTTGTCTGTTAAATTATTATTAATGTTTTCTGTAAAATTAACATTGATGTCGTCTGTTAAGTTAATATTGATGTCGTATGTCAAATTAATATTGATGTTGTCTGTTAAATTAATATTGATGTTGTCTGTTAAATTAATATCGATGTTGTCTGTTAAATTAATATTGATGTCGTCTGTTAAATTAATATTGATGTTGTCTGTTAAATTAATATTGGTGTTGTCTGTTAAATTAATATTGATGTTGTCTGTTAAATTAATATCGATGTTGTCTGTTAAATTAATATTGATGTCGTCTGTTAAATTAATATTGATGTCGTACTGGACCTTTAGGGCCTCAGGCCAACTGCTTGTTTTATTACGTTTTTAATCGTTGCTATTTATGGTGTTGTTGTTGCAGTTGCCGTTGTTGTGGTTTCTGATGACGATAATGATGTTTTTATTTTTCAAATTTTCGTAGTTTACAAAGTGAACAAAGAAGAAGAAGATTTCCCTGTAAAATTATCCGCTCTTAAATTACTTTTATATTTTCACCTATAGCACTGGTTGATATTGGTTTTTTTTTTTTTTTTTCTTCACCCAGTAGAGCAAAGGCCTTCAGTTAACTCCTATAGCAGTCGTTGATATTGTAATTTTTTCTTCTTTGTCCCCCAGAAGAGCAAAGGCCTTTAGTTAACTCATATTTGACTCATTGACCTGTTATTAAACTCTATGAATGGAAGAATGTATGAACACAGTGAGCTCAGAAGAGCAGAATGTTATTATTGTTTTTCTTCCTCTTCCTCTCTCATCTCTTGTTCGTGGCAATTATGTTGTCGTTATTTTATTTCCTGCTGTTGTCACTACTGTTGATTTTTGTATCCCTGCTGTGAAAGTTGCTTCTTAGCAGTTGCCATTGTCCCTCAGCTATTATTACGCTCTTTGTAATTTCACAAATAGTGTTAACTGCATTTGTCAATTATAATGATTATTTATTCTTCTTCTTCGCCTCCTCCTCATTCTTCTTTTCCTCCTCCTTTTCTCGCCTCACACTCCTCTTTCCCCGGCTCCTGCTGATGCTGTTGCTTCTTCTTCATCTCCTTCTTTTCTTCTTCTTCTTCTTCTTCTTCTTCTTCTTCTTCTTCTTCTTCTTCTTCTTCTTCTTCTTCTTCTTCTTCTTCTTCTTCTTCTTCTTCTGCTGCTGCTGCTGCTGCTGCTGCTTCTCCTCCTCCTCCACCTCGTCGTCGTCCTTCTCCTCCTATGTATAGACATTTCAACACGGATCAATATTCAGCATCATTTCATCTAAAGTAATGTTTGTGTGTGGTGGATTTACGTAGGGATTGCCTTTGCTTCTGTTATTCTGTTCATTTGCTTTCCATTTCTTGATCCAAATTATGCATTCTGTGCTCAAACTATTGCTTGTTGCCACGTGAATTACTTTCCTGCCGGAGATAGTTTCGTTGTTTTGTTTTTTGACAACAGTTTTTTTTTTTTTTTTTACCACTTTTCAAGGGACGAAAAGAAATGATTGGGTCGCGGGCAGAGTATCCATAGAGGGAACTAGGGCTTGTATACATGCGTAACAATAATAAGCATAACAGTGCCTTTCTGACATATGTGTGATAATGCCTCTCACAACTTGCAATCTCCAACGGCATGTATCAGTTTACATGGTCACCCCTTCATGCCATGATACAAGTTTGACAGAATTCTTCTCAGGTTGTCTTGCTCCAATGTGCCAGTCATTTCTGGCCAGATACAATTTCAAACACTAAACTACTTCAAGCCACAAACCAAGAAACTCTAGACAGTATGATTACCAAAAGGAGATGGAAATGGCTTGGCCACGTTATGAGAATGACTTCTGATATACCTGCCAAAACAGCTCTCACATGGACACCAGAGGGAAAGAGAAAACAGGGGCGCCCAAAAAACAACATGGAGACGAACGATGGAAAGTGACCTGAGTGCGGCATCTTTGACATGGAAAAATGCACTGAAGATTGCACAGGACAGGAAAGCATGGAAAGTCCTCTCTGAAGCCTCAAGTGCCACTAGGCATAACGAGAACTGATAATGATGAATGTGCCAGTGATGACCACATGTTTTAGTTTCCCACTCCTTCTCCTCGTGGGTTCCGAGATCCACTAAGATTAGACCCACTGCCTCCCAAAGCAAGCATGTCGTGAGAGTCGACTAACTGGGTATTTCCTTTGAAGTCGGAGTGCATCTGCCTGAGAGACAGGGAACCTATAGTCTGCATACAGATATGTCAGGTGGGTAAAACGGATGTGCGCGCAACACTCAGGTTCCGGAACAAGACTAAAATGCGGAGGTGGACTATTATCCAAAACTCCCCTCTGGAGTTTACAGCCGGTGAACGAGTAGTTAACTAAAATGATAGCCGCTAATGTTTTCGAGAAGTTGCCCACGGCATCACCCCTTTCAAAATTAATGGGCTACTAGTTCTCTCTGGTCGGGAAATTTTTGAGCCTTCCCTGAGGCCTCCGAAATTGGGTGGCTTGTTTATTAAGTGTCTAACGGCGCCGCGTGGTCTCGAGGCAGGGTGTCCGCCTCGTGTGCTAAAGGTTCCAGATTCAATTCCCGATAAGGGCTGGGATTTTTTTTAACGTTGACTTGGACTTATAGTAAATAACCTTCGTTTATGGGTAATGAAATCGGACTCCCGTGTGCATTGTTGCGCACTTTAAAAAAAAAAAAAAAACTTACACGGTTGTTGGAAATCGAAAAATAGTAGCCTAACGGGTCTGCCCGGGCACAATTTAGAGTTGGAAATCTATTTAAGTATTTGAGGATCCTCGCCGGTGCTACAGAGCATGTGCACTGTGCTGAGCTTCTTTGGACTCAGACTGGGGTTAGAAGAGGAACGGAGCACTTATGGGTTACTACCCGCGTGCCATGATGTTAATCTGTTTTGGAAAACCTCAAAAACTAATAAGTGTCAAGGATTTACTGCCATGTGTTAAAACTGGCTCTGTGGAGTATGCGAGACAATAGTCATGTGATAAGTGGCAAATACATCATATAAAATTGTAAAAAAAAAAAAAAAAAAATTTGAATAAATTAGCATATTTGCTCGTCGGTAGACGACTTTGTCACTGGTTGAGACAGTGTTTGGGCCAGTCTCCTTTGATCGCATCAACGCTGCAGGAGTGCTTTTCGCGGCCATTGGTGGCGTGCAGTGCTATGTCATTTTATGTGGCGCACATAACCTGGTCATAAATATAAACTAAAGGCACCCCCCCCCCCCCCCCCCCCCCCCCATTTCCTTCGGGGAATGCTTGTTGAATATGACAATTTTGTTTCCAGCAAAGCACCCACCTTGCACCTTCACAAGAGAACAGGGGGTGGGGGAGGAACTTGGAATTCCTTTCTAGAAAGAGCTGAACACTCTTTCCCCATAACAAATTAACGGGAGGGAGGGGGGAGAGGGGGCTGAAGGGACCCAAGCCCTAAGTTTAGGTTCTGCCCTCCCTGCCCCCTCCCTCTCCCCGTTTACCATAATGTATGTTAAAAATTATTTGGGTATCCTTTACAGTAGATTGCAGAGCAAACCCCAGCATTTTTTAGCTATTGTAGTTTTTTAAGGCAAATAGTAGTTTGCCATTGCTTACTGGACGGTCGACGCTCAATACCACATGTGCAGGGCCTGCAGCTGCGATCAAACCCGGCACCCCGGCATTACAAAGCGCGTACAGCACCACAAACTGTGGACTATTATGAAAGGTATGGGGTTTCCAGCGCATTTAGTGCATTTAATTGAAAATCCTTATCATGAACAACAAGCAGCCATCAGAGCAGCTGGTGAAACATCGGATTGGTTCGAGGTGCAAAAGAGGGTGAGGCAGTGGTGCATTCTCTCACCATACCTATTTAATATATACGCAGAAAATATAATGAGAAATGTCAAAAATGACCAGACTTGTGACAGTTATGATCCGCTCAAAATTGGTGGCAACCCTATTTCGGAGCTACGCTACACAGATGACACAGTCCTCCTTTCGAACAGCGTAAAGGGAATATAAAATTTAATATTGTCTGTCCAAAAGCACAGTGAAGATCAAAATCTGTTCTTGAATTTAAAGAAAACTAAAATAATGTCCACAGATAAAACTGGCTGTCACCCAAAAATAACAATAAATAATGAAGAAATTGAAAAAGTTACAAACTTTGAATATCTAGACTCTGTAATAAACATCAATGGAGACTGTTTGACAGAAATTAAAAGGAGGATGGCCATAGCAATGCAAAGATTGAACAGCCTTAAAAGTCTATGGTTAAGCACTAGCAAGGAGATAACAATTAGAATTTTGAGAGCATGCATCTTCCCTGTGGCTACATACGGATGTAAGTCGGGGACTATCTCTCAGTCCTTAAGAAAGAGAATATGGGCTTTTGAGCTGAAATGCTATAGAAAGATTCTCAGAATATCTTGGACAAAGAAGATGAGAAATATTGACATCTTAAAAGATCTGAACATCAAGGAAGATTGGCTAATAAACAGCATCCTTTCTCGAAAGCTGAAATATTTTGGTCATATCAAGCGCCACGACGGATTGGAAAGAATTATAGCAGAAGGCATGGTACCAGGAAGGAGGGGTAGGTGCCGACCGACGCGAAGATTGGCACAGGATATAAGTGACTCCTTGAGTGTGAAAGTTCATGAGGCGGGAGAAATGGCGAGAGACCGAGTTTCTTACAGGCAGTCTGTGATGAGAGCGACGTTCTGCAAAGGACCTGCTACATGATGATGATGAAGGTTTTTCTTATTCTTTGGGCTCGCTACTTACGTATAGTGTTTTTTCAACCCATCTGTCTTTACATGGATGTGGCGGTGTCGATAGTCCTGATTTATCTGTGACAGTGTGGTTCTTTTAACCTATGCACAGTGCGTTAGGGCGTGAACAAGTTTTATGCACAGTGCTTTAGGGCGTGAACAAGTTTTATGTACAGTGCGTTAGGGCGTGAACAAGTTTTATGTACAGTGCGTTAGGACGTGAACAGGTTTTATGTACAGTGCGTGAGAGCGTGAACAAGTTTTATGTACAGTGCGTTAGGGCGTGAACAAGTTTTATGCACAGTGCGTGAGAGCGTGAACAAGTTTTATGTACAGTGCGTTAGGGCGTGAACAAGTTTTATGCCCAGTGCGTTAGGGCGTGAACAAGTTTATGCCCAGTGCGTTAGGGCGTGAACAAGTTTTATGCACAGTGCGTGAGAGCGTGAACAAGTTTTATGTACAGTGCGTTAGGGCGTGAACAAGTTTTATGCCCAGTGCGTTAGGGCGTGAACAAGTTTAATGCATAGTGCGTTAGGGCGTGAACAAGTTTTATGCACAGTGCGTTAGTGCGTGAACAAGTTTTATGCATAGTGCGTTAGGGCGTGAACAAGTTTTATGCACAGTGCGTTAGTGCGTGAACAAGTTTTATGCCCAGTGCGTTAGGGCGTGAACAATTTTTAACTTTTATGTCAATGATCTAAAAATTGGACTTCTTTAATACCTAGGGAGGCGCTGTGGTGTAGCGGTCAGTCACTTGCCTCTGAATCCGAAAGTCGTAGGTTGGGGTCCTGGCGAAGCCGGACTGTTTTTAAAACAAAATGACTTGCCTCCCAGGTCGACCTAGGCTTAAGTGGGTACCAGGTACAGTTCTGGGAATGGAAGATCGTCGGCGTGATGCTAAAAACATCTCCTCCTAGGTCGACCTAGGCTTAAGTGGGTACCAGGTACAGTTCTGGGAATGGAAGATCGTCGGCGTGATGCTAAAAACATCTCCTCCCAGGTCGACCGAGGCTTAAGTGGGTACCAGGTACAGTTCTGGGAATGAAAGGCGGTCGGCGTGATGCTAAAAACATCTCCTCCCAGGTCGACCGAGGCTTAAGTGGGTA